TTGTACAGCTTTTTATGTGTCAATTTGACCCCAAGTTGTGTCCTAGAAAAGCTTTGCAGGAAAATGATAGAAACTTTGTAAATAAATGTCAGAGGATAACCGATTGAAAACTTGTAGGTTTACAATAAAAATTGCTGTCTTAACAGTAGAGTACATAATACAATCTAGCCTCATAATTCTATTTTCCTTCCAATAAGAAAGTTGAAGTGGAAATGCTCAACTATAAAAGTTTAATGATATTGATTCCAATGATACTTAAATCTTTTATGATGCTACGGAACTCTGTCGGTCTTTTATTATTCCTATGACTCAGTCATTTACTTGAATTTGATTGAGAAAAACACTAACGGAAAAGAAGAAATGTAAACAGTAGTGAATATTGAAAGGATACTGAACTTTGTTGCACACAGTCATTTATATCCTATAAATCAATGCCAATAGAAGCAGATTTGTTTTGCTAGCATGACTTCAAATACACACAAGTTGATAAATGAAACCTTAAAGGGATAGATTCGCCATTTTTCGGGGGTTGACTTTGGTTTTGAATATATGTGAACAGTTTTAAGAAGTACTAGAAATGTACAAAATTTGAGTAATTCCTTCAAAAATACCTTAAACTAGGAAGTTCACCTTCTATTTCTATATATGTCTATTTCTATACGTCTTTTACAAGTTTCAAGAAAAGACAAGTCAATTTTTTTTAATTTCAAAGGTAAATAATTTTGAATATACATGGATTTGAAGGCTCAAGCTCACACTGAGCTGTGAACACTATTACTGATTAGCTTAGCAAAAGAATTTGTTTCTGAGACTAAGATGTGATTGGTAAAAAAAAACATAGTGAACCTGTCACTTTAATCGAGGTCTCGACCACATCTATTAAAAGTTTTCATTCGAGTTCATACAATTTTTTTTTTTTTTATTTAGTGTTAAAAGATATACTTGATGGATCTGTTTTTGTAACAATATGGTCATTATTTCATTGCATGTTTATCTATCTGTTCATATAGACAGTCTGTCATAAAAAATAGAGATTTGACTTTTTGGGCACCAAAACCAGGAATTAGAATATTCCTTACCATGAAGAGGATAGGATTAAACACAAAAAAAGAAGTTTTTCCATGGTTACGAAAAAGAAAGTTTAGGACATTACATCACATCACAAACCAATGCTTTTAATTGCTATGAAAGACTTAAAATGTAGAAAATATCAAAATCTGTTTGGGTTCTAGAGTGACATAACAAATATTAAATCTATTATAGTTCAACACAGTCTTAATGAACAATGTCTCAAGATGCAATAAGATAGAAATAGACAGGACATAATAAGAAGCTCTTCAATATTATTGACTGCTAATAGACCAGACGCTTGTCATTGGTAATATATTACAAGATGGTGTAAGTTCTCAACAGACAATTAAATTAACTAACATAGGATTCAAATAGAATATCCATTAGCTCACATCTTAATACCAACTTCTTATATTTCACCCAAACTTAATGTTCTGAGACTTTAAAGTCTTCATCTGAGTGTTCAGTTACCAGTTCCAGATACTAATCAATTATAATTAGACATGTATTAAAAGAATTCAAGGAACGATTCTAGTCGAGGTCTTCTGGAATTACATGAACCAAAGATGTCACTACTCAAATTGTTCCAAGCAGAACACAAGAGTTTCAGATACATGTCTTATGGCTAAATAACAACATCCTTTGAATGCTTAAAATTAACTATCTATTTGAGGAAGGAAGGAGTAAAGAGACCGAGTCCAAAGGATCTCTGGAAGAGACACTCTTCTCTTTTTGCTTTTACACTGACCACCAGATTGTAGGGGCTTAGTACAGTAAACATACCAATATTAAAATGACATGTACCTAGACCAACTTCAACATGCAGACAAAACTACAAATACAGGAGCCAGATTTTGATTGGTGTTTCAGAAGCTGGGGTAAGCCTTTGAAATTATCAATATATGTTCAACTATTGCAGATTCCATAAAAGTCGGCAATGCAGATCTATACCAACAAACTTGTTACAAACTTGATCAAACTTGTGATGTTGTCTCGCATTCTATTTATCATTGAACAGAGATCATGTATCATTCTAGACAATTTTCCACTCAATTCTATTGGCACCCAACAATTCAATTCACCAGACACAAGTCGCAAAGATTTATTATCTAAGTAATCAAATTGTTGGTGCTCTAAAAGACAATCATCAAAACCTTATTTCCTACTATATTTTATACAAGATAAAGCCTAGTCAGACTGTAGTGGTAACTATGGTAACAACAGACTTTATACAGCCAATCAGATCTAGCAATGTTCAATACATCAAATCAAGCAAAAGTATTGAAAATCACTTTGGTAAATGAAGCCATATTCAAAGTTAATTTGATGTAGAAATTGAAGAGAAGTTGTGATGATTTAATACTGAGCAAGATATGGCTAGCAATATTCTTTCCTTTTAAATTAGCTTGCTTAAATCTTAACTTCAGGCATTTTACAGTTTGGATTAAAATCAATATGAATCTCCAATCATAAAACATAATTGTAAAGAAACGTGAATATAAGCAATCTTTATTTTGATAGAAAAATATGATATCCAGTTATTTCAAACAGACATATTCCTCTATTATCCTTAATCAAACTTTAGAAAGTTTCTCCAGGAATATTTCAGGATCCTTCTTAAAATATCGCATTTTTCTGAACTTAAAAATAAATCCTTGAATTTTAAGCGTAATGAATTACCCTTGAATTTGAGAGTCTTCAATATTCCAGTGTTTTATAGACAGCTATCAGTTTGAACATGGTGACTTCCTCTCTGATACTGTACAATAGATGTAGATAGTAGAATCTGTGACTAGTACTTCCTTAGGGACATATTAATTACTTCCAGTAAATCAGATGATTCCAGAAGTTTTCTTTATCAAGTCCATCATTCACTTGGATTAAATTCTAATTACCCAGTCTTCCTAGTATCAAGTATAGTCATTAGCAACAGCAGATTATTTCCATCAACTATGTTTCATGACCTTGGATTAGCTAGTTAGATACTTACTTACTACCTCAGGGATTGGATATTCAGCTTCAGATTATTTTACATGATTTCCTCCTGTCAATGATGCAAGTCAGAGGTGCTTAATTGTTGAAGCTATTGACAAAGAATTCTTGTATTACAGGTTGTTTAAATTAGGGATCCATTGACTGTTGGAAATTTGAATTTAGATTCAGGGGAAAAATACTGATTGATCACATCTGGTTTATTCTATTATGTCCAAAGTTCTCCATTGCCATCATTTAAATACTCTTTGAAGATGCTGAATCTTTCCAAGACATTTCCAGCCTCTGAAGGAAGATATATAGTAATCAGTTTGATGTAGCATACAATATATTACTTCTGACATGTCTTACAGATCAGTAGACCAGAATAATAACCATTATTGACTTCTGAAGGTCACAAGATTTTTACAATATATCAAATTCTGTTGGAAATGGTAACAGTCATTTTCTTTATGATTTTGTATAAAGCTTTATCATAGATGAGCTGAGTGGAATGCCTCATTTTCTCAAGGAAATTCCTACATAGACAAGGTATAATGTACATTAAGGGTGAATGGTGTACATCCAATGATTGATATTGTTCAGGAAATTGCTATTTGGGACTTGATCTCTTTCATCAATCGTCTCTCAGCTAATATTTACGTCCACTCCATCTTGATTTCTCTTCAAGATCTGAACATAATTTCACAGCAATATAATCCACTCCTTGTGCCATTTTTTTTATGATGTTCTGATCTTTTTTGAAAGAAAATAATTAAGAGAAACTCCTATAATCGCGATATGATTAAAATAATTTAAAATAAGACATGCAAATGCAAATGTTTGCCATGGTAACCAGTTTAACGAGAGAAATCTTTTTTCAATATTTGTTTTAAGATGTGCATGATGTAAGAATTTCTTTTTAAATATCTCTGCCAACACAATATGAATAATGAGTGATTCAAATCATTTTTATCTAAAAATGAATTACTCAATTGAATTATTTTAGGATGCTTTTATTTCCTTTCTTGAAAGCCTATTTTTAGTCAAGATTTGGACTTTGATGTCTGAAATTTTGATTTAGATGTAGAAGAATAATGTGGAGATAGTGGTATAATGTACAGGAAGATGTTTATATCGACAATGGTCTGCTTTCAATTTGCCAATCTCCAAATTTTTTATGATCACCATATATTAAATTTTTAACAAGACATTAAGTGTTGGTCAGGTTTTTTTGCAGCATTTTAGAAAATTTTCAATGAGACTTTTGGAAAAAGTTAAAAAGCGATTGAATTAGTGAAGTGAGTCCATTGAGTGTAAAACTAACTAGAGTTATCTCCCATATTACAATATGAACAGATATCTACATCTAGAATGTATTTTTAATTGTGATTTGCTTAGGTATGTGTGAAGTTTTCAACAAATTTGAATGTTTTTTATTTCTCTATAAAAATAACCTAAATCTCTATTGATAAGGGCAAACAAACAGTTCTTGACACCAAGATAAGATTGATTCATTGTCGACAGGATCAAACAAGTTTGATATATGCAGACGATATTTTTCTAGTCATCATTCAATAAGATTCATTTTCACTTCAATTGTATGATCAGCACATATTCAAATTAAAAACAACAGACTGGGGATATTTTATTTCCTCCTGTGCCTGCAGCCAGTCTGAAAAACTCTTGACAAGACTATAGTTTGAGACAAATATCGGCAACAAAAAGCATGTGTGCCCTCATTGTCATGTGATTAAACATTGTTGATATGTTAACTTAATTTCAATAGAGAAAAAATGTTTTATATCTTACTATGCATGTTTACCATATTGGTAATACATTAGTTATTGAAGTTTTAACTATATATCTGTGTTTTGTACTCTCTGTATTGTATATAATTCTATATCTTTGATCTTCTGAAAATAAAAATAAGCCAAAAGACAGTCCCCTATACTTACCATGATGTGTGGCTGATGTAGAATTTGTTTTAACTCATCACAATGCGTTGCATAGATTTCTGGGCAATCTTTAATTAAATGTAACACCTGAAAAAATGGAAATAGTTTACACATCACAAATTATGTATATGTATATAGCGTTTTTGTCTAGTCATTGGCCTATTAGATGTAATAGAAACTCAACCATAGAGGAATAGACTTGGGAACCACAAATTTATTTAGAAGTGGAGGATTTCTGCATAAAATATTTCTTGCATTTTACCTGAAAGTGATTGGAGTTTAAGTCTTAGTTTCTTTGATAATGCATACAAGTAATGGCAGACATCATTATGAGCACATAATATATAATCTTATCATGAATCAAATAATTTTATATATAAATTATATTGTATATGAAATAGTTTGAATCATAAGAAAATCATTTAAAGGGAAATAACTCTTTTCCTTCTTGCCATCATCTTGTCCTTGGAATGTCTGAGAGGTTCAAAATGCTCACATCAGTAGTAAACTTTATCTTCTGATTAGAACTGCCGTCTGTCATCTTGAAATATCCTGGCCGTGTATTCTCAAAACGATGTTAGCTATAGGATGTCCTAGGGTCTAAACTTCTAATACTGTTTGTAAGAATACACTGACTGACTTGAGTTGTTCAAACTTTATGAGCATAAAAATTTCTCTTTTCTATCAAGGTTAAAATATCATCCGGCATATTGATTGTCAAAATTATGAATTTGTCTTGAGGATGTAATTGCTTAGAATTAGAATCAATTCCAATATGATGTAACAGATTTAGAAATGATAATCAATCTAAATCGTTTGTAAATAGGTCTTCAGACTTAAATAAAATCAATATTGTTCATAATAAAAGTATTGATAAAATAAACTTGTTTCCGGTTTTAATGTTTCTGGCTGTTATCTGGGAGCAAAGGATGCAATCTGCAATTATGATCAAAAGTAGAACAGTACGAACCTCTTTAGCTCTGTGAACAGCTTCTGAAGGCGGTTTACGTGATGGACTAAGTGACTTGGTGTTGATTTTATCATACAACTATAAAAGAAAAATATTATTTTCAATTAGTATATTAGTCCTTTAGAGTTGGTATTATTCAATTTATGTAAGACAAATAGTTTGACAGACAAAGTAACCATACATCCACCCACATAGCAGCTTTATTTAATTTGATCATACAACAAGCCAGGCAAGGTAAATAATATTATTTATTGATGATATTTGATGAATGATAAATACTAAAAAGTTTTGCTGTTTCATATATCATAAAATACATCAAATTTTGTGTTTATTGAATGTCTGTATTCTTTGAAAAATAGNGGGGAGTTGACAAAAATTTAATATTCAAAACTTGAAAACGAATGTGGCAGTC